TAAACATGTTCATACTGCTGAATCTTAATAATGAATATACCACTGCCACAGATTTGTGCTTTGTATGTGACAGTCATTGACAGAAGCTCTTCCTCTTCTAGTGTCTTTGTGTTGCCTCACCACTAATGTGTTCGTTTTATTTATATAATATATATATATATTAATCTCTTCTACAAAGTCTTCACATGTACATTTGTTCAGATTTATTCATAAAGTCTTGTTGTTACTATAATGTTAAATGAGGTTTAAGTGGTGATTGATAAATCTCTTATGTTCTGAAGTCTTAGGCTGCCTCAAACATTTCGAGTCAAAGAGAAGCCCTTGACATGTCCTTACTTTTCCTTTTGTGTTTTCATAGGGATGGCAGAATCCACCTCGGGCCAGAACCACACCTGCAAGAATCGGTAAGTCTGCGCATGATTTAAACTACAAAATGTTAAGATAGTTAAAATGATTTCAAGTTCGTCATCTGGAAAAAAATGCACTGTATGTCTCACTGATTGATCTGTCCAGCAGCATCTCTAGTTTTTTTCCCAACAGCTGCTCCCACCAGGGAGTTTCTCTAGATGAGGTGTATTCAGGCAGAGTTCATGTTCTTACAGCTGCTTTTCACACCACTGCTGTGTGTGTACTAAAATCACACACAAATATTAACATTTGAAACCTTTCTCTCTCTCTCTCTCTCTCTCTCTCTCTCTCCTCTCTCTCTCTCTCTCTCTCTCTCTCTCTCTCTCCAGGTGACAAAGAAGCTGCTGCTGCTTCTTGAAACAGTTGCCTGGGTTACCAATGTTGGTGTGTTGGCTTTCCAGGATGGCGGCCTGATTTGATGACGCCACATCTTCGAGGTGACCCCCGGAGGAGCCGTATCATTGAGCATAGCGGTCTGAGCTGGAGGGGAAGCACAGGATGCTCGGGCCTGACTGTTGCCGTGGTGATCCAGAGATCTCCTGGGAGAGTGGAGGCTCCACTGTTGGAGGAGGACACATGAGGCAGAGGAGACGTCCTCCTCATCCAGGATCTCCACGTCACCCTGGACGTCTCTTTGCTGGATTCTCTCTGCATCCAGGACATATGGAGACACAGAGGAGCCACCAGCTGCATTCAGGACCCAGCAGGTGCAGCTGTACAGAGACTGGTAGACTGACAGAGGGCGGGGTCAGTCTTCAGGTTTCCACCTTCACCACTTCATCCCAGGTACATGCGTGTGTCATAGCTTGTGATTCAGTATATTGTGTATTATCATTTCATGCAAACATAAAATTAATTAGCAAGTTGTCTTCCCTCCCAGAGACCAGGAGAGGCCGCCCAGGTGACAGTTCAAGGCAGCGACGGGGAAGAACACCTCCTGTCCTGGGAAGGAGAGTCTCCAGAGGTGAGATTCACTTCAGATATCACTGTTTCCTCTAATGAATATCAGATCTATATTAACACACACTGTTCTCTGATTATCTTTCAGCTGTCTTCTTGGACTGAACTCGGGCCCTGCAAACTGGGCCAGTGTTAGCCGCCTGGTGGAGGCCGTTTGCAACCAGCTCTGCGTCTTCACCCGGTGGCCACGTGGTCCAGAGGGACAGCCTGGGCCCTCCAGCAGGGGTCTGCCTCCTCCTCCTCCTCCTCCTCTTCCTCCTCCTCTTCCTCCTCCTCCTCCTCCTCTTCCTCTTCCTCCTCTTCCTTCAAACAATGAACAGCCTACAGGAAGAGGAAGGCGGCCTGAAGCTGCTGTGGCAGATCAACTTCTGATAGGTCATGTATGTGTATGTATACGTGTGTGTGTATACATGTCTTGCTGTGGTTGTGGGGACACATTTGTGCTTGAAACCATCAGTGTGAGGTTATTGTTGTCAGTCGTGACAGCTTCAAGCTTTTTGAGGGACAGCTGCAGTGACTGAGGTCAGTGTCAGGATGAGTCTCTACGACAAGTCACGTCCTTTGTGCAGATTGAAACGTGAGGAGTGAAGTTCACGCACCAAGCAGCAGGAACATTGACAATTTCTCCAGGAGTTTTCTAGTTGTTTATTCTGTCCTCAGTGTTCACATTCACTTTCTTGCCTTTTACTTCATTTCTACTGTTGCTGATAGATGACAGTGACAACATGTTAAGAGCAGAAGGTGTTCAGCTCTAGCACAGTCACCACCTCCACAGGTGAAAGTATCGACCAGTTTAACATGAACACGGTGTTCAGTAGGAAACAGATGGAACTGCAACCTGGAGCAAAACCAGACTCTTCATAGATGTGATGCTGTGACCTCAGAGACGGATGTGTTCACCTCACACACTCTTTAGTGTGAACTGAACACTGACAGTTCAGATTGTGAAGCAGTTGTCAGTGTAGTACAGCTCATGTTCATCAGTTTTATTCAGAACTTCATTGTTGTCATTGAAAAGGTTTTTAATTAATAAACCTGTGATTAAATTCTACTGAGTATGTTTCTTCATATTTACCATCTGCCTCATGATGAATCTGACAGTCACTTTGGTAAATGAGTGTTTTCATTGTTATTTAAATTGGTAAGTTCATACGACAAATTAGAAAAGCACAAACTCTAGTATCTATCTGTAGATCCTGTATTGTCACTGTTGAAGGACGGACACATTTAAACATTTCTATCATGTTTGTTGTTGATTAAAGCAACATAGAAAGACTTTGAAGTTTTCCCTTAACTTGTAATTAATCAATGTGTTGTGATTTCTATACTGTGCTGCTGCTGCTGTTAAAATTCATACCAGACACGCTCCATTAAAAACCATCAACAAAGCAAAGCTTCATAAAAAACTGCATTAATTTCAACAATTTACAATCACCTGTAACTGACAAATTAGAAATAGAATACAGTTGTGAATGAAGGTGCAGGTGAACTTCACTGACACAAGACAAGTCTGCATCATAGGTTGACTGGAGCCGTCCGTAAGTGATGGAGGGAAGGTGTAAAAAGTCCAGGAGCCGTTATTCATCATCAGTCTTAGGGTTAGAATACGTTTTACACTGTGGTTTCACAGGTTAACGTTAGCACACATGCTAACTTCAACTACAATAACAAGTTACTCCTCACATATATGATATTTGCCAAATGGATGTTGGATGTGTGCAATTAGCCTGTAAGACTAATGTAACAGTTGTGGCAGCTAACCGTGTTAGCAGCATCTTCGCACGGCTCAGCCAGGAGCCTGTTGCTGCCAGGTTGCCGATGCAGGTGGGTGTACTTGGTGTCCTCGAGGACACAGGTCAGATCCACCCCTCCCTCCTCCCCAGCTCCACCCTCTCATCCAAACATGGTTTCTTCTGGCGCCAAAAAACCAAGATGGCGACGTCCATTAACCCAAACTCGAGGCTTCAAAACGGCAGTTCACAAACCAATAGGTGACGTCACAGCAGTTCGCCACTTGATACAGACACACACGCACGCACGCACGCACGCACACACACACACACGGTACAGTATACAGAACACCATATGTTAGTGTGCTAGCCTAGTGTGTGTGTGTGTGTGTGTATGTGTGTGTGTGTGTGTGTGTGTGTGTGTATGTGTGTTGTTGTTGTGTGATAAACCATTTTTCTGCTTTCCTCCCAGTGCATGCTGGGATACATTCCAGTACTTCTAACTTTTTGAATTTTGAATGTTTGATGTAATGAAAAAAAGTTTGACACCTTTCATCCAGAATTAAAAAGTTTGAATGTAGAAGTCACATAAATGTAAAACTAATAAGATTCACCCTGAAATTACAGAGAAGATCTTTAAATTGTTATTATGGACATTAACCTTTATAATAACAAGCTACATTTTAAATTACAGATAATTACTGTCATTTTACACAGATTTGTATGTAATTTAAGAAAGAAAAAATATATTGTATAAATAATACAGTAATCTTTCTTTACAAAAATGGGAAATAAAAGTAATTCATTATTATTGGCATAATGCTTAAAACAGAAGTTTGGCTGTTAATTCACAGATCATTTCTGTCATTTTACAGACTTTTGTTCACAATTTTTTTTAAAAAAACTGAAAATTACTGTAAAATTTTCAGTAGTTAACTGAAGAAATTTCACAGTCAGATATTAACCAGCCGGACTCAACTACAATGTGATGGTGGAAATGTGGAGACGTACCAGGGAACATTTGCAAGTCGACTGTTGTAGTTTTCAGCAGCTGCCACTAGATGGTAGTAGGGAGTCACTGGCTGTTCCGTTAATGACCATGACACAGTGTTGATGCTGTTTTTACTACTTGATCTTCACTATTAAAGACAATGTTCATGTTCAGCGACAAGACTGAAGGATCAATTCATAGTCTGTGATACAGTTAAAATGATAATTGTGTCATGGTTTGGTCATATGAGTTGAAAATAATGTTTTTTAAAGGTTAAAATGCGAAAACTTACTTTTTTATTATTCCTATTATTTCAAGTTTCAGATCGATTACTTCAGTCTCCAAGCGCTGGAGGTGAGGGAAGGGAAGTTCATGTGTGGATGAGGCACACCCACACAAACATCTGTAGAGTCATTATCTGCTCACATGGCTTAGAGAGATTTACAATAGCAAATATGTGTCTTCAAGAGTTTGAAAGATCAACCACACCTCCATTTTTATGACTAAATTTCCACCTCGAAAAGCTTCTCAACATTTGAACAATAGGGTCAAATGAACTGTCATCCAGCTAAAACAAGACGTTAGACATAAAATGTTGTCCATGGGAAAGGAACGAGGTGTCGGAAAAAGAAAGAAAGAAGGACGCAGGATAGGAAAAAGAAAAAGCCAAAGAAGCACAAGAGCAGGGATGGATGGAAAGGCAGGTTTCAGGGAAGAAAAGGAGGAAAGACAAAAAGGGGAAGTACCGTCAGTGAGAGGAAACAGGTAGAGCAGGCTGGTCTATTTACAAGCCTGAGGCAGTCTCTCGGTTTCTGCTTCATTCTATAGGAAGCTTGTGTCCGTCGAGGGCAGTGAGTCCTGAGTGAGAAGCCGCTGAGGAGGAACGACTAAAGGAGAAAAAAAGGAAAGCCATGGCTGTGAATAAATGCATCAAATACCTGCTCTTCTTCTTCAACCTTCTTTTCTGGGTGAGTCTGAAAGGAAAAACATTTGTTTTTTTTTTACATCATTTTAAACTCAACACTTTGACTTTTCAGGTGATGAATCGGACAAGTGTTAATTCTCCAAGCAAATGTTCAATAATGTCATTTTTGTTTTTAGAGATTATTACCAGTTTAAATTGTAATAATCTTGTTTCCAAGAGTGTCTGAGACTGGATCAGTGGCAGGTTTGTCTGGTTTGACATTGGGGTAATTTTATTATTCAGATTGTTTGGGTTTTTGTCAGTTTTGCTGCAGAATGAATGGGTGTGTTACACTGGTCTTTGAAGCTGAGCTGTAGCTTTAATTGTCTGTTTCTGTTGTTTATTTTCTGTTTTTGGGGCTTTTGTTAAAGTTTAACAGATGTCAGACATTTTTATTTTGGTCTTTTGTATTTAATCTTTTCTTTCTTTTGTTATTTATTTCTTATTTATTCTTCATTTCCCACTGTGTTTGCTTTTGTATAGTAACTTTATTTTCCATGTGTTACTGTGCGGCGCCGCTCTGCGACGACCTCTGTCTGTGTCTCAGCTCGTTGTTGTTAATCAGTCGTATCAGGAGCGTAGAACAGGTTGTGTCGGCTCTTTATCATCTCCCTGCCTCTCCCTCTCTAAACAAACATTAGCTCAGTTTCAGGGCGTGGCCCGTCGCTCGGCCACGCATCGTCACATCTGTCATCTGCAGCCTTGTATCACTCCTCCACCTGTGCTCAGATGTTGCATATGAAGCAGCAGCCATTGCTCAATCTAAAGAGTCTGGGGTTTTTCCTAAAACCTCTTCGGGAGGTTTGATTCAGCCCACTCTGCTTCACATGGCTGTATTTCCTCATACTACATAATCACATGCTGGTTATTCTATAGCTTCACTCAGGCATTTGGGATTAAGTTCTTGCACAAACCTGATGCTGCGTTACAGGTAGACTCAGTGTGCTTTACAGTAAGATACATGCAGCAACAAGTGAAATATGTAAAATGAGACATGGTGGTTTTATCAGCAGTTAGTGTTGGAGGTAAAGATCATCAGTCATTAGTCCAGAGGAGCAGCAATATGGTAATAATAATCCCCTGAAAAGGAATGTGAAATTCGTGAAACTAAATTATTAGTTTATATTCTCCAAAGAAGAATTTATTCGCATTCCCACGTCCTGCACGACCATAAAAAGGTAGATGGACAAAATACACGTATCTAACCTGCTAAATATCTGTGAATCTGATTGTAAAGATCTGTCAATTCTCACGATGAGTTTCCTACAATTAGCTCGGCTTTGAGTGGACCCGTGAAGACTTCCGGGTCGACGTGCACTTTTAAACTTCTGTTTCCCTTTACTTCCAGTCTTTTTGTTAAGTTTGTGAAGCTAAGCGGGGTTTGAACGTCCTTTAAACTCTCTTTTGTCACTTTCCACACAGTTGTTGTGGAGTTTGTTTCTGTTTCTCGTAATTACCACCACTTGAGTTAAAGTCTGTGTAAAAACTTTGATATTGAAACGATTAGATTCTGATAACTTCAAAACGAAAAAATTTAAAAAAAATCCATCTACTGGACGTCATCATTAGCAGTAAAGGAGCATCTCAAAAACTGGCAGAATTTTAAATCCTAAAGAATTAACACTCGCAACAAGTTTTCATCAGTCAATCGATAATGACGTAAAAGAGCAACTTTTACACCACTTACTCTGTTGTCGTGGTAACTAGCTCGTTACAAACAAACTGAACGTGTAAACGCAGCCTGGATCTATGTCTGTATCTCATACAACCATATATATACATTTACATTTATGTAAATGTATATATATATATACCATGTATCCAGCCTCACCTGATTCTGAATAAGACGTCAAATGTGGATTTCCAAAGTGTAAAACTTTGTGTTTAATTACAGTATTTAGTGAAGACTGTGTAACCCTTGAATGAAAAACTACCACTTACTTCCCCTTAAAAATGACATTTTTATCTAATGATAAATAAAATCTACCAAACCTCAGTTTAGAACGCTGCAGCAGTAGCTTTACCTGGACAGGTAAGACCTGTGGCTAACAGCTAACATTAGCTAATTGTGCAGTTACTGAATCAGTTACTCTTCTATTTCCGATATTATGACACGACGTTTCAGTTTAGAAACTCGTCACCAGTTTATCACCAGAATAAAAAGGAAACTAACCACCGTACCTCACCACACGACACGTTTGTTGTTTCTGGCTTTGATTCGCTCTCAGCCATGATGCATAATGATGACGTCATTAAGATGACTGAAGAGCATGTTGGGAAACGTAGGGACATACAATGAACGCATTTTTGTGTGTTTATGATCAGGTTTTTAGAGCATCCTGTTAAATAAAGGAGGCGGGACGGCACAGACATTAGCCTGCACTGTTGTGTTGCTCTGAGCTCTGGGCTTCAAAACATTCTCTGAACTGTTAAAAATAGTCTTCATCACGTCCTTCTTGTTTATCCATCAAACTCTGTCCTGTTTAAAATAAACCGCCCGGTGTGAGAACGTCAGTCCTGCTGCCCGCCGAGGTTATTTCAGTCGTTCTCTCATGTTTCCAGAAACAATGTTGAATCAATGTTAACTTGATTCGAACCACTCAGTGGACATGGTGGACATGATGTGTTTACCTAATGATGATGATGGCGAGGGTGGGGTCGGGTTGTTATTTACTGTAAAGCCTATTTACTGTAGTTTTTTAAACTTGTGGCTCCGCATTAGCTTTCAGTTGCTAAGTGATGCTTCCTATCTACAGAAACCCAGACGCAAGAGACGAGCGTCACGCTGTGGAAAAGATCATGTGATGTTCAACTTCATGTTGTGAGTTGTGTCAAACTCATAGCAGCGGTGTAGATAAGAGGTGATACAGTGAATTATGATGCTCCCACATCAGGGCTGTAACACAACTCTCTCGGCATCTGACGACAGACAAACTGCTGCAGACACATCCCGCCAAGTGGTTTCATGGTCTGTGAGAAGAGATATAACCAGTTATCTGCTCGTCTCTGTGCATTAACGCCTGTTAGCAGAGTGCTCATATCATCCATGAATAATAGATGCTGCGTTCAGGGACCGTTTCGAGCAGAGGAAAGAGATGAACCCAATGGAAAGATAGCATGTTTTAGCACTACAGCAAACCACAGGTGCACAGTAACTACATACAGATGGGTGTGCTCTGTTGATGATGTGGTTGTTGGATTTTACTTTCACTGACAAATTTGAAATCGGAAAAAGAACTGTTTATTTCATTTAATTCATTTTTAAAGGAGCTATTTGTACGTTTTTGCTATTGCTACATAGCTAATGTTAGCATTAACGGCTGTTGCTAAGCGCTTCACCCATCGTTGTGTTTACAAGACAAAGAGGTTATAATACGTCCTCTGAGCAGCTGCTTCTTCAGGGCAGACTGGACTGGGCAGTGACTCGGTATCGGAAAGTGATGAGACAGTCCGACCGGGCCTGAGCTATCTGGTTAGCATGCTAACTTCAGTAGAAGAGGAGAAGTGATGGAAAAAGAAAAAAAACATGAACCTAGGCCAGAAAAACAGGTGGTTTAAAGGTTTTTCAATATCTGAACAAAATTAAAACAATGAGCAGAGAGGACATCTTGTATCAGAGATCATGTGATCGTACAGACAGGCGGAGGAAGGTGGAAGAAGGTGGAGGAATGTATTCAAAGTAAAGGGTAGATCTGTCAATCATCAGCCTGGTAGAAATGCTTTCCGTCTGAATGTAATGTTGAGTCAGACAGACCTGAACAAAGACCCAGAAACTGAGGGGTGGTGTTGTCAGACTCAGTGGTCTCTCTCACCTGTAATTAGTAGTGTCACTGCTGTAATTTTGTGTGTGTGTGTGTGTGTGTGTGTGTGTGTGTGTGTGTGTGTGTAGTTATTGTGTACTGACACCGTCTCGTCTGGTGGATTCAAAGTGAATCCAGCAGAACAGTTTGTCCAGTATCTCAGTGACACAGTGACTCAGTACTACTGTGTTCGACTGCCTGTGAGTCACTGCTGAGGAATGAACCGCCTCGTGCGGATTAACGAGTCAACTGACCTCGTAATTATTACTTTTGTAGTGTTTATTATTTGTCACACAAGAAGAAGAAGAAACTCGTGATCTCAACATTGCAGTTCGACAGATGTACAGGAAGCCAGCAGGGACATAAAGGAACAGGAAACTCATTCTCCACTTTAGACGAATGTGAAAACTGATGTTACACAACATCTTTATTACTCACTACACAGGAAACTATTGGGTTTAATTATGTTCATTAGAGTGATTGAGTTAAAAAGAATATGATGACTACTTCAAGTTCTTAAGAAGACACACAACTGATTTACTTTAATCCTGATCAGATGTAATCTATAACAAATTTAACCTGATAAACTGCGACTTTCATCAATTTAATGTGTAACCCTGATATTTTTTAATCCTGATAAATCAAAATCTTGAGAAAATTTAATCCAGTTATAATCCTGATTTAATCCTGATCATATAAACTGTAAAGCAAATCTAATTTAATCCTGATTAACTGTAATTCTGATCAGACATATTCCCATTTAATTGAAATCATTTTAATCCTGATTATCTGTAATCTCGTTCAAATGTGATCCTGATCAATTAGATTCCAGATTCACTCAAATCTTGACTCCAGATCAGTTTTAATCCCAATCATCTGAAGTCCTGATCAATTATAATGCTGCTCATCTATAGTCCTTATGATCTATTTATCACCTGTAATCCCAATTAACTTTAATCCCAATCAACTCAAACCAACTAATTAGAAGTAACTGTAATTATAATTATTTTAATCCTGTCAGGTGTAACCCTAATTAATGAATCCCAAACAGCTGTAATCCAGATCAAATTCCAGTCAGATGTAAAATCAATGAAATGTAATCCTGAACAACTGTTGTTTTGATCAGTTGTAATTTAATAATATAATTAAATTGAACTGGTTTTAATCCTGGTTTCTAGTAGTTTCTTTTAGAGCCGCTGCACACAGTCCTGCTGAGATGTTGCTCAACAGGTTTTCTGTGTGTGTGTGTGTGTGTGTGTGTGTGTGTGTGTGTGTGTGTGTGTGTGTGTATTTGCATTGACGCAGGTTGGAATCTCTCTGATTTAACTCTGTGATAACAACATCTAAACCTCTGTACAAAGCCTTTTCACTGGATGTTTGTTCAGTGCAGTGACCGGCCTCTCACCGCCGGCATCCACCTCTCAAAGAAAAACAGCAGCTTTGTATGGGTGTGTTTCTTTTTTCTCTTCAGTGATGTAGCTGATAAAACAGTAACTCACTCCTCCACATCCCAGATCCAGCCACAGATAGTTTCCCGTTAATGGTCGTCCTCGCATTTTTTTTTAACAGTGTGCTGTGAGTTGATCAACAAACAGTTTGAGTTTCCTTATCTTTGAAGGGTTTATAGAGAGTAAAGTGTGAGCAGAGTGATGGAGGTTCGTCCCTCAGGCCGTGTCATCACCAGCAGACTGTCTCTCTCTCTGTTTGTCGTTCAACTGATCTGAACTTTACAAATCCCCTCAGGTCCGAAAACCTGCTTTCAAACGTTAAGCATCTCCATAACTTTAAATATAAATGACCGAATGTGCAACAACTGAAGATAAAGTTTGTCAAAACAAATGAGTGACGGCGAGGAACCTAAACATCTAAAACTTTAGCAGCACTTCCTGTAAACGATCCTACAACTGTCAGACGTTCATGTTGCTAAATCCTGATTGGTGCACGGAGATGACATCACCTTTATCCAACAGAACGGAGTAAATCTCTCAGTGTTCATGTACGGTCAAACCTTTAAAACACATAAGAATATAGAAATACTCCAATACCAATTGTTGTGACACTAAATTAGTTTAATTGCTTCGTTATAAACTCCTAAAAGCACCGAGAAACTTTCCTCCTTCAACAATAAAAAACAAACTTTACTTTAAAGAGACGTAACAGTGAGCGATGAGGTAAAAAGCACATTAACAGTGAAACTACTGAAGTGATCTCCGTCTACTGAGCAAAACCTACAGACTAGATGGAATAGTTACTGGAACTGAATTATCAAATAATATTTTGATGATTTTTAAATACTTTTAATTTATTTTACTTGTATTTCCATTTTTCTTGACTATATCATTTAGTTTATGACAGGTGTGTTTGAGGACTGAGATTGAGGCGGTTATGAAGCAGCTTAACAGACTCGAGCACACGCTCACCTGAGGTCACAGCTGATTGGTCAGAAACACCAGACTGTGGTTGCACTGGTTTCACTGGTCAGGTGTGTGTGTAGGTGTGTGTGTTACTTATTCAGCTTTCGGAGTAAGAGCTGTGTATCAATAGGCTGAGGGTGTGGTGGCTTCACATGCACAGTGTGTGTGTGTGTGTGTGTGTGTGTGTGTGTGTGTGTGTGCTGTCATTGTGAGCGCAGAGGTCGCGTCCTCTGCAGATGTTTGTCACGCCTGTTTCCGTTCATTCAGCAGTGAACCGATGATCCATCTTTTTTTTCCTTTAACATAAACACAAAGTTTCCTTTAGTCTTTATTTCCAGGACGGAACATTTCACACACGATGTGACACAACGCACAGAGCGAAGTCACATGTAGAGCTGCAACCAGTGATTGTTTTCATTATCGATCAAAATGCTGATTCTTCTCTGATGAATCCATTAATCATTGAATCTTTAAAATATCAGAAAATATTGAAAAAGCTTGTTTTTTTCTCCCAAATCTAAAAGAAAGTTCTTTCTCACATTTTGTATTTAATTCATTTTGTATTCAATTCAAAAGGAATAAGTGAAAGAAAGTTGCTGGTTTTGACTTTAAACCAGATGGTTACTTAAATTAACCTCAACAACCAGACAGGCTGGTGGTAAGTGTACCGGACCTTGGTTGTCATGGTTACAATAATGAACACGCGAACTGTACCGAGAGTGCCATACCAGACCTTCGTCGCCGTGGTAACTATAACAACGGTCGTGGCCTGGTTAGTTTCATTTAGGTTCAAATTAGTTCTTCCTCAACATTAGACGATGTTTGTTGTCATGGTTACAACATAAACAGCTAGTTTTACACGGATATCGAACACCGCTCTCCTGTGTCATATTCATACATCCACCGCAACCCCCTCCTGACATCTGGCTGCTGGATGTCGCCTAGCAACAAAAGGTAACTGAGGGTCATAGTAACCTGCTACACAAACGACCCACGAGCTCGTTTTTACTTTCGGACGGTCTGTAATTAATATAAATGAGTAAGAAAAACCTTTAACTGGAGACTATGATTTAGGCCTAAATGATTATACAACTATTAAAAAATCAATTCAAATCAATTAATTGATCACTTGAGCTCTAAATTTCACTTTAACTGAGTAACATGAACATATGTAAAATAATTATATTTTAGTTAAAATTTAAAGTTTAGTTAAAATTTTTACTAATTTTCTTGCTGTTTGATTTAAATGTTTAAATAATTTTTCTTTTTTTGGACCCCACGTTCTCAACACTTAAAGAAAATATGCAAAAACTATTTTAAAAAATCATATGATTCATTTAAAAATATTTAAAAACGGATAGAAACAAAAGTGCAGCTTTTATTTTGATTTAAAAAAAAAAGAAAAGTTTTCCTGTGAATCCAGGAGGGTGTGTCTGTGTCCATGCATTTTAATTCATTTACATCCATTTCATCTACATGATCCTGTAATTAGCTGCTGTGTGTTGGTCTCCAAGGAGACGCCGTGGTCGTGTCCTCTGACCGGGTCTCTGTTTTCCGGCTCTGCTGCAGCTCTGAGGATGAAATATTGATGCTGGATAATTACTCTCAGAAGCCTTATTGTGGCGGCTAATTGTATGAGTGGTGAATAATACATGTCACTCATCAGTCCTGAGCCCCGCCCACCAAGGAGCTGGACTCCAGTCTGTTCATGTAGACCTGATCCTCAGAGAGTCCAGATCCTCAGAGAGTCCAGATCCTCAGAAAGTCCAGAGTCCAGATCCTCAGAGACTCTGGTTGTTCAGTCTATCTATCTATTTATCTATCTATCTGAAACTGTGTCTGTGTGAAGGTGACAGTTTTTCTCCACCAGGTGTCGCCAGATTGTCACAGATAAACTTAACTCAGAGGAAACATGTTGCACATTTTCTAATGTAAAATTTCTCTCTCTCTCTCTCTCTCTCTTTCTCTCTCTGTACAGGTGAGTGGTTGCATCATCCTGGGTGTGTCCATCTACCTGAAAGTCAGCAAAGATGGAAACCAGGTGAGTTTAATCATTTCCACATCCACACAAGTAAAGACAAGTTTGAAAACTCTTCAAAAACTCAGTGTTGTGTGTTTTACTCGCCCCCTCCTCCTCTTCCTCCTCCTCTCCCTCCTCCTCTCCCTCCTCTTCTTCCTCCTCCTCTCCCTCCTCTTCTTCCTCCCCTCTTCCTGTCCTCAGATCACCAATGAATCTCTTCCTGGCATCGATCTGATGATCGCCATCGGGGTGATCATCATGGTGCTCGGGTTCCTGGGCTGCTGCGGCGCCATCAGAGAGAACCGCTGCATGCTGCTGCTGGTGAGCGTCACCACCTGATTCTTCATCATGTGATCTGACACTGACACTTCCTGTCTGAAATCAGGACTTATGTTTCACCTCTGAGAAAAAAAAGATTTCATTTGTTTCATCATGTCATCAGTATTTTTAGGGCTGAACAATTCAGTGGATCTGAAATGACAAAATAACTCATGATGATGAATTATGAAGGACAGTGTTGCATTTGCAACTTTAGTGAAAAAGAGTAATACACTTTATTTTTTATTTGTATTTTTTAAAGTGTAAAAAGTGCAAATTGTTTTCTTTATTTCTTTAATAGAGACAATATGTTGATAAACATCAGTATAAAAACACAATGTAAACATGTAGGATTGTAACTATCCTGAAAACAACATAGTATAGTAAGGCATGAAAAGGCATGAAAAGTCATAAAAACGTCATAGTATATATAGTAAGGTATAAAAAGTAGCTACATACTTATTTATATCCGTAAACCAAAAAAACATAACAGGTCACAATACACCACCAGAAATATTCTAAATCATAATTTTTATAAATTATTGATTGCTGCTTATTTTCAGAAGCAAATCAATTATAAACCAATCAGAGATGAAATATTGTTGTTGTTCAGATACTGATGCTGGAATCAGAAATGTAAGATGCTGCTTAAAATACTGGATCAAGACCTGCGAGTACGAGTCTGCACATCGACCCAGTAACATGTTATTCATTAATAAACTGTAACCTTTCACACCTGGATAAAACAGCAGTTTTTCCATGAATCAAATCAACAGGAGCCCAAACAGGAAGCTGACAACTGCTTTTTTTAGAGGAGTGAAGAAAAACTGATTTCTGTTAAATTGTGTAACGTTAGCTGTTAGCAAAAAATTCGACAACATGTTCCACTGGAAAGTCTGCTCTGAAAACGTTCACATGCTTCTAATTAAAACAAATCCTCCTGTGTTCCCTCAGTTCTTCATCACCCTCCTCCTCATCTTCATCCTCCTGCTGGCGGCAGGAATCCTGGGAGCCGTGGGCGAGAAGAAGGTAAAACAGGAAGTGGCTCTGTGCTGATGTCGCCTGCGCTCTCATTACTTTGTCTGGAAAATAACAAACTTTATGTCGTGTGTGTGTGTGTGTGTGTGTGTGCAGGTTAAGGACTGGGTGAAGAAGCGTCTGGAGAAATTCACCCCACTGTCAGAACAATCAGAGACTGTGAGGGAGGACCTGGAGAAACTGCAGCGGGAGGTAACACACACACACACACACACACACACACACACACACACAATCAACAACACACACACACACACACACACACACACACACACACACACACACACACACACACTGCAGTCAATCCTCCATGTAGTTTCTAACATGTTGATCAGCCTGTTGTTACCATGGAGATCCACTGAAGGGCGCACAAGCATCAGACACTGTTGAAATATAAAAACATGATATTGATGAAGTCTGCAGACGAACTGGAGCTGCCTCACACAGTTTGTCAGCCTCGGGGTCGGGGGCGTGTGTGAGGTCACTAGTTCTGCAGAAGAGGGCGTGGCCTGGATTGTAATAATCATATAACTTGTAAAAAGATTTAAGACCGTGACTGAGTTTTTTTGAAGAATCAATTTGTCTCTAAAATACTTTCTTCAGATTTTTTGTTTGATCTGATCAACAGTCCAAAACCCAGCGTTCAGTTTCCTGCCACATGTGACAAAGAAGAAAAACTCGCTCATTAACAGTGTGATCGTTAGTGATCATTAATGTTTACGGCTCAGTCTCATGTCTTGTTGTGTTTTCCCTCCAGCTCAAGTGTTGTGGTCTCGTGAACGGACCCTCAGACTGGACCCAGATCCCCGAGTCCTGTCGCTGCAACAAGACTGAGCCCGACTGCGGCTCGTCGGCCCTCTACAATGAGGTGAGGCTGAAGAACATCTTTATATTATAATCATCAAACCATGTGATGTACAGTCTGATGATGATGATGATGATGATGTTGATGATGATGATGATGCTGATGGTGGTGTTCTCACCCTGCAGCCCTGCTCCAACAAAATCATCACTCTGATGGAGAAAAACATGGAGGTGGTGCTGGGAATCGCCTTCGCCATCGCCATCCTGCTGGTCAGTACACACACACACACACACACACACACACACACATACACACACAGACACACACACACACACACACACACACACACACACACACACAAAGAGAAGTACACAACATTCTGATGTTGGAAAAATAAGATATTTGCATTGCATCATGGCGTCGGAGCCAAACACAAAAAACGTTTAAAATAATGTGGGATGCTAAAACACTGCTTCAAGTTATAACAGGAAACATTGAGGATAAACTTTTTATTTTTACTTTGTATTTTTTTACACTGATGAAAACATGTTGAAAGAATCGAGCCTGAGTCAGATCCATCAGCAGAACAAGAAACCTACACATTTTACATTATATTTCTAGTGTACAAGTATCTAATATTAATAATAGTAGTTATAATAATAACACTAAGCTTGATTTGTATAGCACTTAGTGTTTTACAACAAAGAAATGAAAGAAGAAAGAAATGATGTTTCACATGAAAAGGCATGAACATAAAACATGTAAAATGAGATGGAATAATAATAAAATAATGACAGAAATAATGATGTATAATATCATAATAATAATACAATATAATAATTAAATAAATAATTAAAGTAAGTTAAAAAAAATTACATAGAAAGCATAAAATCGTTGAGACATTAATACTTATAACAGCATTTGAAGGAACGTTAGAAAGTACAAAATAAAATGTTCAAAAATATTCAAAAAAATATATAAAAAATTGATTAAATACATAGAAAATTATAGATACGCAGTATCAATCTGAATATTTTTGATACTGAATAAAAACAGTTCTGCTATAGTTGATTAATGGTTGGACAATAATGATAATATTCATTATTGTTGAATGGAAATGTGACCATCAAACAAAAATGGAATAATCCAAAAACATACTTATATTACATACATACATATTAAACACTAAGTTCTATGTCCTGTATATGTCACTGTTTCATCACCTGATGTCTTCTACTCCCTGCAGATTTTCGGCATGGCCTTCGCCATGATCCTCTACTGTCAGATCGGCAGGAAGGATGGCGCCACCGGCACTACGACTAATGCCTGAGGCCCCACCCTCGTTACCAGGCAACAGCCAATCAGCAGTGCCCGAGTGACCCACGCAACATAAAACCTAACTTCAGTGCTACTGTACTTTAACCTGTGCTTTTATTGTGAAGGAGCACGCTGATATTTTGGCTCATTAATACACAGCCTGTCATTAAACTGTATGGATTTCAGCTAGTGCACAGGTTAAATGTATTTATATTTTGGGCAAATATTATATAATAAATAATAAGTGCTATGTGTGAAAAATGTGAAATAAATAAATGATTTAAACGTTTCCGAGAAAGAAAGTGAGGAGATTTAAATTATCCAAATAAAAGATAACCAAGGGAAAAAAACAAATGTATTTTTGATTTACTGAGTAATGAATCTTGTCTGAGCAGGAGAGTAAACAACAATATCAGAGTGTTCCTATAACTTCACAGAAAACCTGTGATAATGTATTTTACAAAAATACTCATCACGTCACAACAAGGTAACAAGTGAAACAACAACACTCATCCATGTGTCAGTTCACACGAGGCCTCAAAGAACAAAAGTCAGGAAGATGGTCAAGAATACAAATCCTCATATCATATAGATCTTATTCTTTATGGAAGCCAATTGGTACCCCAAAAAAATAAATCAGTAAATAAGTGGTTACATATAAATTCATTAGTTTCTCATCAGTTATATCTCATATGAACGATTTGTACATTACAAATGTAATTACAACATTTTCTTTATGATTATAACAAATTCTTGAAAATTTTATTTTCGTACTTGTAAATCTGGACTCAAACTGCAGTTTAATTTATACATATATGAAAGATGCTTAAATTTGATTTTATTATAGTTTGTTATAGTAGTCATAATTTGATACTCCTATCAGAATGTCATTTCTGTGGTTCCTTATTTTTTATGTTCAATATTTTTTGGGGTAGGAATTAGCTTCCATACATTTATGTTCAAACACACACTGCTATAACTGTATTGCACTGTCTGCTGCCATTTTTTTTAATGGAAAATGCTACAAAATAATCCTCAGGAAGTTGAAGTGGTGTGATCGTGCTGTTGTAGAATAAATACAAGTTATAAGAATAATGTCATTATGAAAAAAATAAGCTTTAAATTTGACACTGCTGCATAATTTAATACCTTATATCACATTGTTACAGAATATTATTTGTTCAATTTTTGTTTTTATTATAAAAGCTAAAAAGTTGTGGTTAAATCTTGTGGAGTAATACTTGATTTTTGTTTCTCTGCTCTCTGAATCCTATTGCTGTTGCTTTTTTTTTTTCATTAAAGATATTTTTATTTTTGTGTATTTTAATCACCCAACTGAAATAAGTGTCATACTATATAAGAAGTTCTCTCCAACATTTGCTTGTCTTTTATTTTTTAGTTACTAAGTCATAATAATGTTGCTTAAAGATTTTTACAAGGACCTTCCAAAAAGTAAATTAGGAAACAAATGTAAAGAAAGGAATTGACCTTGTGTTGGTTGTTTTCTGTGGACCCCCTCAACTCCACTGCAGGACCTCTGATGGACCCCAGGTCACACTTTGAAGGTTGTTGATCTGCATGCTGTGATGAAATAAAACAGATGATGTGGTTTGTTTGCCATCTTGACACAGTGAAGCTGATGTGTTCCTGTGTGAGCTCTACAGTCTGCTGTTTGTAATGGTTTTATCACTGTTAAGCTGTCAAACTACAATAAACGATGAAGGGAATCTCCAGCTGCAGCGTCTGGCTTGGTCTGTGACACAAGTGAAATGGTTAAGTACTGACTTTCTGATTAATGCCAGGACTCACTTTCCTTTCTCCTGTAGATGAATCCAAACTGCGCTTTTATTGCAGGAATACAATCTCTAGAGTACCTTCAGTTCACTCTTCATCATCTGCAGTTCTCATCGGGATCCAGACTTTAATGTTCTCATGTCACGTTCACTGTTACATGTTAGAAAATAAAAACGCCAGAGTATAGGAAGGCATATAAAGTCATAAAAACCCTATAGTACGGTAAGGGAAGAAATCCATAAAGGAAAAAACTATAGTGAGGCCTAAAAAGTAAAAGAAAATGGCATAGTATAGTAAGGCATAAAAATGACATAGTATAGTAAGGCATAAAAAGTCATAAAAACGACATAGTATAGTAAAGCATAAAAAATTACATAGTATAGTAAGGCACAAAAAGTCATAAAAACAACAAGGTATGGTAAGGCATATAAAGTCATAAAAACGACATAGTATAGGAAAGCACAAAAAGTCATAAAAATGATATAGTGTAATAAGGAATAAAAAGTAATAAAAACGACATTGTATAATAAGGCATAAAAATGACATAGTATGGTAAAGCATAAAAAGTCAAAAAAACGACATAGTATAGTAAGGCATAAAAACGACATAGTATAGTGAGGCATAAAAATGACATAGTATAGTAAGGCATTAAAAGTAAAAAAAAAGACATAGTATAATAAGGCATAAAAAGTCAAAAAAATGACATAGTATAGTAAGGCAAAAAAACGACATAGTATAGTAAGGCACATAAAGTCATAAAAATGACAGTATAGAATGGCAAAAAAAGTCATAAAAATGACATAGTATAGTAAGGTATAAAAATGACATAGTATGGTAAGGCATAAAAATGACATAGTATAGTAAGGCATAAAAACGACATAGTATAGTAAGGCACATAAAGTCATAAAAATGACATAGTATAGTAAGGCATAAAAAGTCATAAAAATGACATAGTATAGTAAGGCATAAAAACGACATAGTATAGTAAGGCACATAAAGTCATAAAAATGACATAGTATAGTAAGGCATAAAAAGTCATAAAAACGACATAGTATAGTAAGGCATAAAAATGACATAGTATGGTAAGGCATAAAAATGACATAGTATAGTAAGGCATAAAAAGTCATAAAAACGACATAGTATAGCAAGGCATAAAAAAGACATAGTATAGTAAGGTAAAAAAAGTGATAAAAACGACATAGTATAGTAAGTCATAAAAATGACATAGTATAGTAAGGCATAAAAAGTCATAAAAACAACATAGTATAGTAAGGCATAAAAAGTCATAAAAACGACATAGTATAGTAAGGCATAAAAATGACATAGTATGGTAAGGCATAAAAATGACATAGTATAGTAAGGCATAAAAAGTCATAAAAACGACATAGTATAGCAAGGCATAAAAAAGACATAGTATAGTAAGGTAAAAAAAGTGATAAAAACGACATAGTATAGTAAGTCATAAAAATGACATAGTATAGTAAGGCATAAAAAGTCATAAAAACAACATAGTATAGTAAGGCATAAAAAGTCATAAAAACGACATAGTATAGTAAGGCATAAAAA